TATTTCTTGAAAAGTTAACTTATTCGTATTTCGATTTAATAAGTTTTGCCTATTTTATCTATCCTTTCTCTTTCAAAATGATTACCAGAAGAAAAACTTTATGGCTCCGAATTTGAAGAAAAGCATTTCTAAGACTTCAGTCATTCAGTGGACAAGATTTCTTTGTGATGTTACTTTCGGTCATATGTTAAAGAAAACTACTTCTTTTAGATGAACGAATAGAAGGAGTTTTTTTACCTTTCTTTTAGGTAACAAGAATTTTGTGCTGTTTATTCCTTAATTGTTTCTTAATTTTAAGAAATAGTAACGTATTGCTGTAGCATATTTCCTGCTTCGGCTTAGAATTTAACTAAAATGGTCATTTGATGTTCCACAAGGCGCTTTTGTGACAGAAGTTGTTGTAGACTCCCGCCTATGAAGATGGTGAAAATTGTCTCTTCGGTGCAGAGGCTATTGCTCTTTACCTGTGCGGCAAGACACTGAAAACAGAAAATGTGACTTATTGTTATTTTATGTACAGAAATTATGTTTTTAGAAGCTTTTGAGGAAATGATTATCTTGAACATTGATTTGTTTGATGATCATTATTTTTGTAATTCATTAATTCCTTTAGTGTGCTGAAGTTCTTCAATGGATGCAGTGGTCAGAAGGAAGTTTGCTCCCAAATGTTCTTGGTTACGTTTTGCCGAGTGTATCGGCTGCCAGAGTTGACCATAAAGTTAGCAAATTGCATTTACTCAGCTTTAGTAATTAAGGATTGTAGAAGTCATTAGGCGATTTTTTCAAATTTAAAGGTCAATGAAAATATTTTGATTTCTGAGTAAGAAGGAATTATTCTGCCTTATAATTTTTTGCAGAATTAGCAAAAGAATTTTGCCTATTTTAGTTATTCTATAACCGTATTTGCGTAAATGCATAAACACCATTTTCTGCAAGCTACTTTTTTGATTTGTTATTTTTTGCATTTTTTTTTTAGGCCGTTGAGTACGCTAAGCATGAATTACTAGGTCAGCTGAAATGTTTTAATGATCTGCTGCTGACCCGTACATTTTTAGTTGGAGAGCGTTTGTCTCTTGCAGATATATCTGTAGCGCTGGATCTGCTGCCAGCTTATCAGGTAAATAACGATTTTCTTTTATAATATCTCTTCTTCTGGAATTTTTAACTCGTAAGTAGTCATTTGCACGTGTGGTTGTCGAGGGTGAAAAACTGCAATTAACTCGTTTACAGTATGTGCTTGATGATTCGGCTCGCTCTAATTTAACTAATTTGAATCGATGGTTTAAAACCATAGTTCATCAGCAGGCTGTGAAAGCTGTCATCGGTGAAGTGTCTTTTGTAACGAATGCTTTACAATTTGATAGTAAGTTTCATTTGGTTGATTTTCTATAATTTTTTATTTTTTCTTCATGTATTAATAGTTTTTTAGCTGTGTTTTTTGATTTTTTTATTTATTTTTTATTTTTTATTGTTTTTTATATATTTATTTATTTTATTCTTCTTTTTGTATTAATTTTTACAGATTTTTTATGCATTTTTATCTTTATCTTTAGAGTCCAAATTCGATGAATATTCCGCCAAACTTCGAAAGGAAACTCACAAACCTGCAGGTGGTGCTTATTTCATTATTATAATTTTTTATATTTTTAAATTCATTCGCTTGTCACAGTTTTTTAGAGAAGAAGCCAGAAAAACAAAAAAAAGCTCATCATGAAGAAGAGATGGATGCTACCGAAGAGGCTTTAGCTTCTGAGCCGAAAGCTTCAGATCCATTTGCTGCTATGCCTAAAGGGTTGTTATTTTTAAATCACCTGTTGTTAGCGTCCTCAAGAATAGTGTCTTTATTCCTTAACGTTTTTATTTCTGTTGTTGGATCGCTGTCTTTTTTGTTGGCTTCAATGCTTAGCTGACTGGCTACTGAGCAGAAGTTTGTGCTGAAATTATCTCCGTATTTCTCAATAGTTTTTAGATTTTAGAAGAGTATTTTTTTCAGGCTCTTTTCTTTAATATAACTGCTGGGTTTTTGAGTGTTGTAAAGAAAAATTTTTTAGAAGCTTTGTGATGGATACGTTCAAAAGAGTGTATTCCAATGAAGATACTGCAACCAAAGCCATACCTTATTTTTGGGAAAACTTTGATCCTCAGAACTACTCTATTTGGTTTGCAGAGTATAAATATCCAAAAGAATTGGCGCTCACTTTCATGAGCTGCAATCTGATCACTGGTAAGGGTTTATCAGTCTTCCTTTCTTCTTAGGGAGGTGAACCTCTTAAACTTTATTTTTTGTCCTTGATTGGTCATGATTAAAAAAAATTTTTTAGGAATGTTCCAGAGGTTAGAAAAATTGAAGAAGAATGCTTTTGCTTCAGTTTGCCTGTTTGGAACAGATAATAATTCTACTATCTCGGGTATTTGGGTTTGGCGTGGTCACGAACTAGCTTTCACTTTGTCGCCAGACTGGCAGGCGAGTTAACTTTGTTCATGGAGAAGAAGAAGAATTTCTCATATAGTTTCACTGTGAACTTGCCGTCTTTTTATTTTTTTAATTCAATAAGGATTTAGGTAGACTATGAGAGTTATGACTGGAAAAAGCTCGACCCTTCGGACCCATCAACAAAAAAACTTGTTAATGAGTATCTAATGTGGGAAGGAGAATTCGGTGGCAAAAAGTTTAATCAAGGAAAAATCTTCAAGTAAATTAGTGGCAGCCACTGTCTGAACCTGCATTCTTGATTTTGTTGTTGGTTTTTTTTGTTATAGCTCAAGTAAAGTCTATTGTTATCGCTCCTCTCATTTTCATCTGCACTTCGAGGAAAGTTTATAGAGGAAGAAGCGTTGTTTTTTGGTATTTTTTAACGTCTGTTGTTAAATGTGAGGAAGTAAGCAAACTGCATGCTCGTATTTTCTGATTAACGTCATTATTCGGGAGTTTGCAAGATCATGGTAGGACTGGCGTTGTTTTAGTGATTAGAACGCGTAGGTTGTTCTAACAGCTTGAGATTTTGTCATTCTTTGGTTTGGTGGGAGGTTGTGGTATTTTCATTCTTTCCGGTTGAGTTTGTTTATCAAGATGCTGTATTTTTTGTATTTTTTATCTGATGTGGTTGGTATGATGTCATTCGCGTCTTTCAGAATTTCTTGGACTTAGTGGTGTTACAGTGCTGCAAATATTTTTCAGTTATGACCGTTAATGGGAAGAGTGTATGTTATTTCAAGAGGTAAGTGGCTAGGTTAGTAATTCAGTGATCTTAGTTCCTGAGCCGGTTATGGTTGTGAAAGTCAAGTAGCCTCGCCAATTGTTTAAGAAATGCACATTCTTTTTTGTTCGGTAGTGGGGTTCATTCATGTTCGTTCCTTTGTAGCAGTATTTGCTTAAGGTCCTTGTAATAAGTTGGGCGTGCCTAGTGTAATTTTACTGAAAGTATGTCATTTCACGCAAAGGCAGTTGCCAGTTTCTACGTGATGAATTAGTTGGTTTTGCTTCACGAAGTTAGCTCGCAGATTTGTTGCCGTAATATTAAATGTCACTGACAGTTGGCGCAAATAGAAGGGTTAGATGTTTTGGGTTAAAAAATTGTTAAGGGGTTTAGTTGGGTAGGAGAAGTTTGTATTTTGGTTTTAAATGATTTTAAATTAAGATTTTCGGCAAGGTTTAGTTGCATGCGGACAAAGTTCAATGTTTACTTGAGTTTATTGCGTCTAAGTGCAGTTGAAACTGGAGTGGTTATTCCTCCGCGGGTTAAGAAGGGGGAGTAGCGTAAGGCGATCGTTTCACGAAGACGCGAAAAATTGAGCCTGTCAAGTGTGACTGTTTGATGTTCAGCGTGTTGTGAACTGCGCAAATGTCGAGAGTATGCAGTTGTTTTCTTTAGTGAAATTTCTAGAGTCATGTTTTGTTAGATTTTGAAAGGTTGAACTTCATATAAGTCAATGTTTTTACAGTGCAAAGACATCTAAATTGGAAATGCGTTTCTAGGATATGAATAGGGATTCTGTCAAGCTGTGGTTTTCATAGGACGACAACGAATGACTCCACAGTAATGTTGAAACTCCTTTCTTTCTTGAGGGAAATCAATCCCCACTTTGCTCTGTCAGTTCCTTTACGTGGTGATAAAGGCCAGGAAATGGACAGTCAACAACATAAACAAGTTTTTTCCGTACAGCTGAAATGATTGTTTGGGCAACAGCACATTGCTTTTTTAGTTTTGGGTAAACAATATGCCAACTAGGTCAATGGCGCAGTTTTGCCAGCTACAGTGTTCTGTTATCTCTCATTTTCAACTGTTCTTGTCTTTTCAAACGCCCGATTTGGCTTTGTTGTTATGAATTTGAACATGCTTTGTTGAAAAAAATAAAATGCAGAGTATGAACAATGTTAGCAGTCAAGGCTGAAAAGACACTGCGCAATAATCTTATCGGGAAAGTATATAGAAATATTCGTTGAGGTTTCATAACAGGTTGTATGGTATTTTTTAAAGTAACTTCTAAGTAAAAACTAACACAACAATAGACGTTGTTCGGAAGCTTTTGAATAATTTCAGAACTAAATGTTTATTTCACTTGCGTCATTACCAAGTTTAAAAGCATTCAAAACCACTGGTTTGGTAAGTTTTTTTTTATTTTGATGACTTGTCGAGAACATTGTCAGAGGAAGTAGAAAGTGGTTAGGAATGTTTTGCAAGGTTTGATGAACGATTAGAGAACATGGTTTGAACAGAAATACAAGAAAGTCATTGGTAATAGTTTCTTCATTTTTTGCAAATTTTTAGTTTCATTGGTGTTGAACGAGTTGTTTTTAAAGAAACAAGGTTTTTTTTGCTTTGGAAAAAAGAACATAATTTAGAAGGTTCATTATTAGCAAATTTAGGTATGAAACTTTTTGACAGTTGTTATTTGTTGGAGTTGAGTATTTTTCTGTAAGCAGTATTTTAAGTTATTGACTTGATCAAAAACTTTCTTCTACTTCAACTCCTCCAAAAATTTATAGCTGTTGCTGCGTTACTTCATTGTCAGTAAAGCCGATATTTTTTTTCTGAGCCGGAAAACAGTTCTGCAGAGTTACAATTGTTAAACAGTTTAAAATCTCTCAAATTATTGTGAGCTGAAGTTTGACGCTAACTTTATTTATTGACAAAGGTGTGACGTTGTTGAGACAAAACAGTCACGAAATATGTTGCAAAGATGGAGTAGTTGCTAGTAAAGTTTTGTAATCATATAAAATGACTAATGGGTGTATCGAGAAATTTATTTCTTTTCCTCCCCATTTCTTCTTTTTTTTTTTTCATTCTTTCCTACCATCTCTCTTTTGTGAAATGTTGCTGACGTATATACAAATTTTTTTTAGTTCTACCATTTTTTCTATTACTTCCAGGCGTCTCCATAATTAAATTCAAAGTATAAAGCGTAGGAGCACAAATATTTCTTACGGTATAAAAAACTGCCTCAAATAACCCTATTTTTTACTTTGTCACTATACAATGTATCTTCTGCACCTTTTATGATAATCGGATGAACAATACTATCATACTCAGTATCCATTTGCAATTCTCCAATTAGTTCTCTGTACGAACGTAGCAGAACTGTTGAAATAACTTTTTTGTTTACCATATTTTTTCTTACCCACAAAGTTATCTGTCACAGTTGTCGTAATTTTTTTTCTCTTTAAAATATAATTTTTTTTTGTAACGTTAAATTAATTGTTGCACTTTTTGACTAATTTTTTAACGTATTACTGACTTCCAAATAACTGTTTCTTTCGTGGTCATACTAAATTTTATTTTTGCTTAATCAATGTGTTTTTGTTATTAATGACTGTAAAATTCTTGATCGACTGTGATAGCAGGTAGTTAATTGTGTAAATTGTGAAACATGAATATTTTGAACCGGAGCTACAGCAACGGTAACAGTTCGGCAAGCTTCCCGATTAAAGTATTTTCATTCACATGCAGATGAATGTTCGGAAAAAACTCTTCGAATAAAATGTTGTCTGTTCTGCAACCCTTTTACAAAAAAAAAAAAAAAAAAAAAAAA